AGAATGGCTTACACTACTTATTCTCAAATATACTGGTCTCTACATTCACATATTTTTAGCTTTTTCTGTTATTGCTTCTGCCTCTCTAATTCAATTTTCTCCTGAACTATCCCAATAACCTCTTGATTCTACCAAGTATATTCTGAAGCACAACACTCAACCTCTTTCTATTATAGCCGTGAATCATTCTTTATTGTCTACAAAATAAAAACAAAAAATTATGTCAATGATTTCACACTCTTACATATTCAAGTTCCAACATTTGGAGGGAAATATGCGAAGTGAAATATACCATGTTATGCTCAGCTATGTGAGAACATGTATTTATAATGTTGGTCCTCAACTTCCAAAGAGATGATTTGTTTTATCTAAGCTAATGTTCTCTTTTTCAGTGATTTGAAGTTATAATTTTTATAATATTACCATTAAGTAAACTAATATTTTTCTTATTTAAGTAGATAATTTCATACTATTAATGGACATTTTATCTTTACGTATCTCCTCATTTGAGAAAATAAATATTTAAACATACATAAATCATAAAGGTCAGCATTTAATAAAAAGTGAATAGAGTTCTCAGTGTGACTCTTAAGAATACATGTAGTCATTGTAAGTTACTGTCAGCTTGATGACCTCAGGACATTAAATTTTCTACTGGGTATATTGTGATTCTTTGAGGGTATTATGTTGCTTTTGGGAGGACCCCTACTTTTTTTTTTAGGACCCCTACTTTTGATGTTTCTCTATCTCCCTCCTTTTTGGCATGTCTGTGTTTCCCCTTAAAGAAATTTTATTTTTCCTTCAAGAAATAAATAAATGAAAACATTCATGAAAGTAAGGATCCATAGTGTTAAAATATTACATGAAAAATATAAGTCGATGTCTACAACATTAGGACAAGTAGTACCAATGACTAGGGAAGATGTATGAAATTTTATTCTGGAAATGAAAAATAATGAAAAAAACTGACATAATTTCATGCTATATCTAAAGCAAACACTTTTAATACTTAATATTAGAGGGTGTGGCTACTATATTGGCGAAGTAATTTCCAACCTACAATTTCATAGGTGCAGTAAATGTCTAAAATTGATGAAGAAAATTCTCACTGAAATGTTAATCCATAAACTTTCTATTCATTTAAATCCGACACAGGCTTAATAAAAGACACATAGACACATTGTACATTATAAAACAATTCACAATTGGGTTCAGACAGCTACTGTTGGTCATCTTTATTCATTCTAGTGTTAAAGACATTATTTTAATTCCATGGGAAATTTGAGCTAAAACTAATAACCATGTTTTGTTATTTTCTAATGAAAGTAACACTTGCCCTCTATATGGAGTTTTGGTGTGGCACTAGAGGTTAATGTGCTGGACTTCAAGTCAGTTTGAACAGGATACGGAGTTCGAGCTCATCAACATCTCAGAAATCCTATACAAGGTCTTTATGAGTCAGAATCAACTTGGGCTAATGTGTCAGACTGCAAAGTCTTTTGAACTGCAAGGTCGGTGGTTCAAGCTCACCAGCTGCTCCGTGGAAACCCTATACAGAGTCGCTATGAGTTGGAATCGACTCAATGGCACTTAACTAATGACAAACCTCTATATGGCATCCTGGTGTGGCACTGCAGGTTAACACGCTGGTCTGCAAGGTCAGTTTGAGCCACAGGATCAGCGGTTCGAACTCATCAACATCTCAGAAATCCTATACAAAGTCTTTATGAGTCAGAATGGACTTGATGGCACTTAACAACAACTTTAAACCTCTTTATAGGAACCCTGTTAGAATCATGGGTTACAACGAACTGAGTTTTTAACCTCAAGGTTAGCCTTTCAAATCTACCAGCTGCTCAGTTGGAAAAAAGATAAGGTTTTCTGCTTTCATAAAGATTTACAGCCTTGGAAACTCTGTACAGGGTAGGTCTGATTTGGGACAACTCCACAGCACATCAGCACCACCAAATCTCTATATACCTGCATTCTATGTCACAGCCTGTATTAAAATGAGTAAAAGTCACTGATGTTAGTCAAAGAAAGCACATTAGAAAGATTTTTGTGCAAATAGTTTAGGCAACCTCTGTTAGAAAAGTTCTAACAGATTTCTTCCACACTTATTTTCCCCTGCTATTCCAAATGTCTTTAAACTCTTATGGAAAATGGTAGCCAATGAAGGCTTGGGTCTTTGTGATACATTATTCATTGTGTACATGATTGCAGTAATCTCACACTGCTGGAGGACATGATAATACCTCTCCAATGGAGGTATAATAGAGGTATTGATTGGAAGAATAATGATAATATTAATAACTATCAATAATGGAAGACTAACCAAGTGCCAGGAACTATTTGTAACACTTTACATGAATTCATTTTTTGACTGTTCATAAGCAGGTGAAGAGATATGCTCAAAGAGATGCAGAAATATGCTGTCACTATGTCCCCTACCTAGCTGTGAAGTAAGAAGTTTCAGAGTTCAGGATCTTGGGCTCTAGGATGGCCCTCTCAATTCATCTCTGTCAGTCTTTTATAAATCTGTAAACTACATATTTATGCAAAGTACTTGAATTGATATTATTTCTCTTCTCTTCTACATGATGAAAGGATGCATTCCATAACATTCATTAATCACTGTGAGAAGTAGATTTTATTTTTATGTTCCCCAAACTTGCTTTTGAATAGTTCTGTTTCACCTGGTGATTTTGAACTTCGTGAATAATCAAAGTTGACTTTCAGACAAGATACATCAAAATATTAGTTGTTGTGGTGGTATATAAGGGCCATTGAGTGAGTTCTGATTCACTGCAACCTTGTTTAGGGTTTCTGATGTGTGGCTGTTGGGTTTGAACACCTAGCCTTGAGGTTAGCAGTCCAGTACTTATCCTACAGCATCACACCAAGAGTTCAACATTAGCAGATAAAGTAATCTTGCCACCCACCTCAGTTTTTCTAGCTGTTGAGTCTCCAGACTCTGCAGTCATTGCTTGTGTACAGCATGATTCTTTTACATTAAAGCACTCAATTCTTCTATTGAAAAAACTCTGATCTTTAATGTCTCAGAGTCCCTATAAATGTATATCCTGCATTTCTTTTATAAACCTGGTTCAGGTTAGAGGTCAGAGTGTGAGGACTCAAAACTGACTTTTAGATAAGACTGTTCTTAGCAAATTCCACTGAGATGCTTACCGCTTAATTGGGGAAACCTTGATGCGTGTCTTATGGGAGTCTATCCCCAGGCTTTCATTAGCCATAGTTCCAGAATCAGTGCAGAGCTTTTATAAACATCTTATGAAAAATCATAACTACCCAGTATTCCTTATTGTTTGATCGCAGAACTAAAAGAAATAGGTTTATTTTTTTGTTTCATATTATTTCAAGCAATGCCTGTGTTAAATGCAGATATTTGTTGTTGTTGTTAAATGCCATCAAGTCGGTTCCGACCCATAGAGACCCTGTACAGGGTTTCCGAGGGTGTCAATCTTTACGGGAGTAGAAAGCCTCATCTTTCTCCCGCGGACCGGCTGGTAGTTTCGAACAGCTGACCTTAAGGTTCGCAGCCCGATTCGTAACCACTACGCTACCAGAGCTCCTTAAATGCAGATATAAGAACATTTAAATTGTATATTGAGTCACTGCAATTTTATAAGGGTGTCTAAAAAAGTTTTTCAAAAATCTGCATTACCCTCAATTTTCCACAAAGTTTTTGAGTCCTCATTTTTAATTCTTATTTCAATGTTTGTGCATGCAAGTGTAAATACTGGGCTAAACAACTCCCTCTTTAGATTTAATTCCTTAATACACTCATGTTCTACCAATACTGTCTACTTTCAGCTGGTTGAGGATGAACTGAAAAGAAAAAAATCAAGACAAAAATTATGGATTGCCCTATCTTTATGTCTTCATTTTCAAAGTAAGTGAAAATTGTCTAATACAGGGAAGCGAGAAAGGATATGATAAGTTTTCATGGTCATCTGTTCTTCTTATAATACAATTTTTCTCTTTCTGTGTTCAAGTTCATTCTGGTTTGAACATAAAATATGTCTTCTGAAAGCTCTCAATACCTCACTTACTCAACTCTGGGTACAACATGTTTTTTTTTAATTCACTTGGACATTTGCTAAACTTTCATGCATTGTGTGTCTGCCATAATTCTGGGCTCTGGGCGTTCACAGCATGAGCAAGGAACAGTGGGTATGTATATGTAGTGCATACGTATCTCTTTTGCTTATATACAAACCTCATTGTCCTATTGGACTTCACTTACAAAATTTACATTCAATGATAAGAGTATTAGAAATTTCAAAATGTCAACAGATCATTAAACCAAGTAGAACTGTGTGTCTGCACACCCATGAAGACAGCCCTCAATGTTAGTATTTGTTTCAAACCGAAAATCACAGAGGTTTGTTCTTCCATTCACAGTTATCTCATCATGTTGCTAGATTGTCCAGTACTTCCAGTATGGTATAACAAAGCTACAAATTATAAAAATAGTGGTAAACAATGCACTCACTAGGGCATCTTTTCTTAAGATGAAGTTCACTAAACATAACCTCCATGCACAGTATTAATAAGAAAAAGATGTGTGGCCATAGGATTTTGGGGAATATGATGTTCAATGTTCCTGTTTAGTTTCACTTTTTGAGGGCTTCCTAAAATCTTTATTCATTTTTGTCCTTGTAATTCTATTCAGGAGGCTACAGGGGGCTATAGGAACTTCCAAACTTATTTGATCCCAAAATTCTTTGGTCCAAGATCAAGTCATGGAACTTATATGCACAACTTGTTGTTGTTAAGTGCTGTAGAGTCGATTCTGACTCATAGTGACCCTGTATAGGGTTTCCAGGGAGCAGCTGGTGAGCCTGAACCACCTACTTTACAGTTCAAATGACTTTACAGTCTGATACATTAGTCCACAGTGCCACACCAGGAATCCAAAATATTTAAAATAGACAAAAATCAACCCAATGTTGCTTGTTGTTGTTGTTACGTGCTGTTGAGTCAGTTCCAACTCATAGCAACCCTGTTTAGGGATTAGTTTACAGCTTCATTGTTGTTTTTCCCTCACTTCCCCTTATCGGTGACAAGTGTGGTCACAAATCAGAGTGTGTATTCCCACTGAGTCTTAGTCTTGGAAGGGGCTTTACACTGAGGGGACCCGACCACTTGCCTTGATGTCTCCTGGGCAAGAAACTTACATGTTCTTGTAATAACAGTTGGTGTGCCTTTATTGTTTTGTATTTTTCCTGTAGGTCTTTCTTTCAAGAAGTATCTTCTGTTCTTCTAGCCACTCCAGTCTGGTCTGCTTATTCTTTCAAGTGGAAATTTCCCATCTCTGAAGATCTGGATGTGGTTCAGGCTTCCACCTATTGCCTTATATAATACAGAGGCTCCGCAGGAAGCCTCCTTCACTGGGCACATTGTAGCCCCATTTTAGGTATTCCAATCAGTTATAGGCAGAAGATGGACTTACAAACTTTTTATGGAGATGTTTCTGACTATTCCTTTCTCTCCCACTCCCCTGAGTAGCAACTTTAGAGGCTTCACACAGTGGAGGTCATTTCTTACTGGTTTTATTATGTGACATCGAGTTGGTTTATAGGGACCCTGTATAGGGTTTACAAGAGCCACTGGTGTGTTTGAACTGTCAAGTTGAGATTACAAATCCAGTGTTTATCCTATAGAGTCACACGAGCACTCATGTTGGAGTTAATAGACATGACAAAAAATAGTCCAGTCAAATTACTAAGAATTTACAAAAAAGAGATAAGGGAGCACTGGACTGTGAACCACAAGGTCCCCAGTTTGAGCCACAGCCACTCAGCAGGAGAAAGATGAGGTTTTCTGCTCTCATGAAGATTTAAAGCTTCAGAAACCTATATAGGGTTGCTATGAGTATGTATCAACTCCACCTTTATTAAATAACAACAACATAAAGGAGCAAACAACAAAAAAACACAGTGGGGAGGGCCAGGGGAAGCAGGTAACAAAGACTGCTTCATTAGGTGGCTCAGATGTTATATTTAGCAGAAAAATATTTCAAAGTGTTATAGTATAACTAACACCCCCATTTGAAATATTTTAGTATAACTAAAAACGCCCATTTGAAATATGATAGTATAACTACAGCTCCCATTTGCCATTTGAAATATTATAGCATAGTTCACCCTGCTCCCCTCTTCCTCCCCAACTCACTCTATGGAAAAATAATAAATAAACTTCTTACAGAAAAATCTTGAAGGCCAGAATGACCCAAGGACACCTGAACAAACAGTATAAAACTTAGCCCGTCCATACAATCAAGGTAAGAGTTTATTGGTGGGTTTACTCCCACTTACAGGCTAAGGGTTTGCTGGAATTTACCGCCCTAGCTGTGTCCTAACTGCCCTGTGTTTCTTGTATAAAACCCTGTTCTCCTCCTCACTTTGGGATCAGAGTGAGTTGGGCTTGAGCTGACACTCTGGCGGCCAGCAATAAACTTTGCTCTTTAAGTTTCCAAGTGAAGTTCTTTCTGATTCTCGCTGGTGCACCAAAAGCAGTTATTGTTGCTGCTATGTGCCTTTGAGTTGTTTCAACTCATAGACCCCGTATAAGTTTTCTGAGGCTTTGTGTGTTTGTTTTCAAATCTTTGAGGAAGCAGAAAGTTGCATCTTTCTTCTACTGAGCAGCTGATGGGATCAAACCATGGACCTTGTGGTTTGCAGTCCAGTGATTATCATATGGAGCCTATCATAAGTATGTTTTTAAGCTAAAAAAAATGTGCTTCAAAGAAAATGAAGATAGGATAACAAATGTCTCATGAAATAAAGAATATTCAAAAGAATATAAAAATTATTAAAAAGAACCAACTGGAAATTTTGGAGTTGAAAAATATAATAACTGGAAAGAAATTTTAAAAATGCTGCAGAAGTTCAATTGTAGCTTTAACTGGCAGAAGAAAGAGTTTGCAAATTTGAAGACAGATGGGTAGGGATTGTGAATTATGAAGAGCAGATTAAAAAAGTTAAGAGTGAGCAGTCTTAGAGAAATGTTGGGCATTATAGGAGCTCTGGTAGCGTAGTGGTTACGAATCGGGCTGCGAGCCGCAAGGTCAGCAGTTCGAAACTACCAGCAGTTCCGTGGGAGAAAAATGAGGCGTTCTGCTCCCATAAAGATTTACAGCCTCGGAAACCCTGTGTAGGGTCGCTGAGTCAGAACCGACTCCACCGCACCTAACAACAACAACAACAACAACATTCACACTAAGGTACACAAATGAGAGTACTATAAGGAGAAGAGAGAGGGAATGCAGAAAATATTTAAAATTGAGGGACTGAAAACTTTTCAAATTTATTGAGAAATATTAAGCACCATATCTAGGAAATTTCATAATCTTCAAGTAATATAAAAGCAAATCAATCCATACCCAAATACATCATAATAAAAATGCTAAAAGTCAAAGATGAAAAAAATCTTGAAAGCAATAGAGGAAAAATGATGCATTTTATATAAGGACAAGTAAGACTAACAACTCAATTTTTATTAGAAACAATATAGGCCAGAAGGTTGTTGTTAAGTGCCATTGAGTTGCTTCCAACTCATAGTGACCCTGTATAGCGTTTCTGAGAAGCAGCTGTCTGGTGAGCTTGAACTGCTGACCTTGCTGTTCAAACAGCATTAACCCACAGTGCCACAGGGGCAAGAATAATATTCGTGAGGTATTGCGATGTCTTGAATTTGCTTGATATGGCTTTTCTATCCAAAGTCTTCTTACTTCACACCAACTGACTGGGTTATTGCTGTTGTTAAGTGCCGTTGAGTCAGTTCTGACCCATAACCATCCTATATAGAGTGTCCAAAGAGCAGTTGGTGAGCTTCAAGTGCCGACCGACCTTGTGTTTCAAAGTGATATCGCAAACTGGCCCATTAGCCCACAGTGCTACAGGGACCATGCAAATAAGGTACATAGGATTTTAAGGCTGGGATTGTTTAGTTTTAACCTCCAGCTAGGTTTGAAAGGAGCTATTTCAGAAGCAGAGATGGAAGATCCAAGGATCATCAAGAAGGAAAAGCATGAGTGAAGTGTAAGATCCTTACCTAAAGAGCCAGTGAAGGCAGAGGTGAAAATCAAGACTGTGGCATGGAGAGACAGAACAACTTTAGGCTTCAGGCCTATGGACTGAGTAGAACTGAGTATCTACAGACAGGGGACTGCTTTGCAGAATGTGCCCTTTGGGAACTCACAGGCTGGTTAAAATTACTTTGTAACACT